AGATGTGGTTATCTGATGGCGGAGGCGGAAAGGTAAATGCCTGGGAAGAGTTAAAAATTGCGGGTGGTGGTAAGGGTGTTGGAGCTCGGGAGGTGGTGGGGGCGAAAAATGGGTTGGACGGGTGAGAGGCTCACAGTGATGCCATTTGAATGAAACGGGGTGGAAGGCCTTGGCAACGACTTTTTTGCATGGCCGGAGAGATGCGGTGGGAATATGTTTTCATACAAGAAAGGGATTATTCTGTGGGTTAACCTAAATTAACTGTGCGAAAACATGTTTACGGGTGCCTTTATCATACCTGGATGGGAGAGAAAAGTCACAATAAAAATCTCACCACGGTTGTTTGCAAGTGAGCATGAACAGATACGTTGTATAAGTTATGTGTTGGTGTAAGACTTGGCACCTGGTTTCGTGGTGTAGTTGGTTCTACACCACAAAACCACCTAACAATTGATCAGTCCCTCCCCTAAACCTAAATAGGGAGGTGATGAGTTAGTCCTTGGTTGGACACCACTGTTAAACTTTGTGGTTAAAAACAACTGACTTCTCCCCTACTAACCCCAACTCAGGGATATTGAGTAGGGGTTGAGCCACATGAGGAAGAACACCTCCAACCCCTACTTGTCATCTTTGCATGGCTTCAGGTACCCATTTTCGCTCCCGGAACTGGAATCAAGTCTAACCTACTAGCAGTCTCCCGTTTGAGCTTGGGCAAAATAAATCTCTCTTCCCTCTTGGGGTTAGTTATCACTTTTGCCCTCAACTGAATTTAATTCTTTCTACTGTATTTTTCCCATCAGGGACGGTTCACTGCGTCACAAGCCCAAACACTTAGCACCCACACTAGGGAAAGCCTACAAGGGGGTCTATGATATGATATGGAAGGTAGCCGACACAGATAGAAGTATGAAAGAAAAAGAGGACGGTGGAAAGAATGGAGCCGAGTAAGCACTTATCATATCCTCCTGAGGGTGGAAAGAGGGAGGGATCCGTGTGATATCATACCAGTAGTTATCATGTATCATTGACGGAGGGAGTCCCGTGGGTGGGTGATTGGAAAAGAAAAACAAACAGGTTTCGGGTTGTGCGAAATTCAGTAAAGGGACATAGGTTATGCGCGAGCATGGAAGGGTGCCACGGATAATAAAATTTGTTGAAATATTGCGATACACTATTTAACCCGAGTGATCATTTATGACAGTGGATTCAATAGTGTCATGCTACAGTACCGTAGTTGCACCCTGCGAACAGACAAAGTCTAATGCAGAGAGGCAAGCCATATAATATGTATTGTTCAACAGGAATAACTGGCCAGCTAGAATACCGCAGCTGAAAAAAGTAGGCAAAGCTGCAACATTAAACCCAAACATCTCCCCCACCCCCTGCACTGACATTTTATGATGATATCTACACCCACGCTGCCCACTTTCTTCACCCAAGACTCTGATTCTCGGGCAAAAATATTGAGGCTAGTCCTATTGTTGGAAGAGCTAGTTGGCTGGTTTGTGGAGGAGCTCCTGAGCTTTCGGCCGATGTGACTGACTTCCCCGCTATCGCTGCAAAGGTTGGCCTCAATCATTCTAGTCATCGGTGTCACTTGGATGGAGAGGTCTTTGACTAGGTTTCCGTTGTTGCCAGCAACAACAGATAAGCCCACACATATTCTTCAGTTAAGCAACCTGAGTTCGCATTTAGGATTTATGACAGTTCAGTATCTTCGCTGCTCTCACCCTCCGCCTCCACCTTCTCCTTGCTCCCACCTCCGACACTGCCAACCCCCCCCAGAACTCCTGTGCCTACCCCCGCTCCTTTACTAGCGCTCTTACCTCCTCATTGCACCTGCCTACCACTCACCCCTGCCCCCTTAAAATGAACTAAAAGCTTCACATCACTTCTGTGCCCGTCTGGGGGGCGCAGCGGACGGATAAGTGCTCGACGAGTTCCACATAACAACCACCAAGTCCACCTGCATGATCATTCTAAGTCCCATAAGAAACCCCCTCCGCAATCTCTCCCCAAAGAATACAAGATCCAGTTGCACCAAGCTTGCATTAGCTTGTACAAGGGAATACTTCTAGCGAGAAGGCACTACTTCAGCTTATCATCCTGGTATGTGGCGTGACAATTGATACGCCACTGACCTGTGAACCAGCCGTGAATCTTGACAAGCCCCGACGGGCTAAACCCCCGTAAGATAAACTCCACCAGATCACTGCCCCAAACTACGCAGCCACGAACCCCTCGCTTCTGAACGCTGTATGAATACAATCGACAATGACTGAGGCCTCTTTCATCCACCTCTCTTTTTCGTGTCCCATATTTTGAACCAACACCTGGAAGCGATATGTTTGGGTAAAAGGCATGCGGTCGTACCTGATCATCTGCTACTGTTCTTTACTAGTTACGTAACCATACACGATCCCTCCGCCGTTATTATCCCGCATGGCTCTGACGGCTAACAAGCACCGCCTCTTCGCCTATTCCGACACAGGACTTTGCTCCCACAACAAGACAAACCTCCGGTTCCCAACCCCAATAAAGTCCATCCCAACAAGCTCCAGAAAACCACTCATCCCCGCGTCCACAGCGATAATCTGGTTTTCCCTCCGAAGGTAAAGTTCATGCCCCATCTTGTGTCTGAACGCCGTGAGTATAAGAAGGATTATAAGTAAACCCAGTCGCTCACATAACTCCTTCGGTGTGTGCAAGCATGTCCATATTCTGGGTGAAGAACTTGTACAGGTTCTTCTTTGCTGCTGGTAGTATGAAGGCGTGCGTGGCTTCTGAGGTGAATTGGCCAGGGTGCAGCTATTTCCCAAGGGTGTAGAAAGGTTGTAGGTTGGTTTGGAAGAAGCTTATGGTGAAGGCGACCTCTGGGTACGGGAGATTTAGAGTTTGGAGGTTGAAGTAGAGGCCTGCACCAGTTTTGCGGAAGTTTGGGATGCTGGTGGAGGTGGAGACTCCAGCACCACACTAGGAGACATGGTACCATAATACAGTAGTGGAAAGTAACGGTAGGGCCTTAGCAAAGGGAGAGACCAGAAAGACTGCGACAGAATCCCACCAGTATACGAGTACATAATATTATGATTGGTGTTTTTTTGTTCGGTGCCCGAACACACCATCCCTAGTGCTTGTACCGGTGTGGGCCAGGGCGATTTGATAGGGTAGTTTGGCAGTCGCATGGTGGTGTCGGGGCATAATCAGGGATGATGGTAACTTAACAGTTGCCTAAGAACCGGGTTTGCTAGATAGTGGTTTTGATTTTTCTGAGCATGACGAAATAAGGCAATCTAGCTAGTACAGGTTGGGAAATCGGAAACGGGGGGTAGGGGGAATACGAAGGATGAGGGAGGGCGTGGCAGCAATTGTCTTCCTAGATTCTTCACATGCACCTTTAGAGAAGAATAGATAGTCTTTTTCTATAGGCGAATTTTTATAATTCGCGATTGAACTTGAATCTTGGTGCGCAGTTTGGAAGTCGTTTCTCTTGTCCACTTAGTTGTCTCGATTTCTATCTCTTCTCTCTTTTTTATCCTTCCTAGCTAAATTCCCTGCCTTATATATACTGCAGAACCGCCTCCTTTCACTGGATACTCTTACGGTGTTCCAGACTTCAATCAGCTCATATCCGCTGATCAATCAAACCCCGCTTTTCCCCCTCATTTCTCTTGGCTTCTCTCTGCTTCTTATCCACCTGTGTCTTTCAGCCAATCACTGATCCTTTATGAACCATGTGCTACATAATTTCCCTACTACTTCCAATCTTCCCCGCTCTACCTTTACCTGTACCATCTCCTAGAACCTTCTTCCTCTTTTTACAAATCCTCTGATAAGCATGACAAAAGAAATAACAAAGATCCCATAGTCTCCGGACCCACTTCCGGTATTCCTTTCCGTCGCTCCTGATCATGGTTGGAATAGGTGAGTTAATTGGAGTGCCGGTGATTTACGATATTGAGAAGTGGGGGGCTTGTGGCCCAGTAGTTAGGGATAGGGATCTGGTGGAGTTTGTCTTGCTGGGATTTGTTTGTAGTGGCTTGTTGTCCTGGGGAGTGTTAGTATTTTGAGCCAAGCCGAGGGACTGCATGGTCAACCGCATAATCTGTTCAGAACTGGCAGGCGCAAATACCTTCAAATTAGATTTTTTACCCTTGTTTTGTCTCAAAATCACAATAAACTCCTCTATCCTAGCTCTTCATAGCCGGGACTGGACCTTTCAGGCTCTTTCTCCTTGGCACAGTTGTAAGTTACACTAGAGCTGTGTCTTTAATTTAACGTACTAGCATCTGCCGGTTCTCCCCAGATTGTGCGGTAGTATGATACTATCCTGCGGTCCATTATACAATCCCTCCGCTTCACTCAAAATTAGTGTTAGGCACCAGCCGGCTCACGGCGGGCCTGGCCATAGGCTTGAATGGCTAGAGGTCTCAAGCATAGACTCGCTCTTGGTCAAGCTTTCACAGTGTTGGACGTTATAGATTACATGCAGTATTGTATAGTGGGGGTTGCATACCGGAGAAATGTTAGTGCTTAGTCATCCTGCTTTACTCGCTGTTGTACCGGAGCAGATTTCTTGCTTCTCCTGAGCACACACGTAGAAATGGCTATCCATTTCACCCTTTGACACAAAACAAGTGATCTACTTCATTCTGTAGTGAATCTTATCTTACCGCTCCTCTGCACTACTTCCCTCCGGTCCTCAGCATCTCAAAGGTTACCTAATTACGCATTTCTTGTGTCCGCGTCAACTAGCAATCTTCCAAAGACTCTTTCTCCGCTCCTGCCAACCTCGTACCAGGCACCTCATTGCATGTAACCGGTGCATGTTCTATTAGCTCTCATCTAGTACTAGCTCCAACACACAGTTTCATCAAACTTCACTCGTATGTAGTGATGGCCACGATCATAAGGGTCACTCGATCAGATTATGCTCGAGTAGGGCTACTGCTCGACCATGTTCGATCATGATCGATCATGATTGATGACTCTATCAATACCTATACATATATCTGTCCTGGAAATGACACGATATCTATTAATATAATCACTGTCTGCACCACACACTCAATATCATGCCCCTGATAATGCACTTCACCACCGAACCCCCAACACGACTGACCCACCAATTCACTTGTCTAAAATGCCCTTGCTCTAGACAATGATCTCATGAAATCCCAAGTTGATATCCACTTCCAAGAGCCGGGGGTAGACCGGAATATAGATATTATCGAGTTGTTGGAATTCCCACGACAACGGCTACCAAATATTGCTTTAATGGCGCATGGATAGCCTTTGACTAACACTCTTGCAGAGTGTTCGATCAGAGCACCCGTGGTTGAAGGCAATATTTTTACATGAAAAAGGAAATGATGATCAGCTAGACTCAAGTATGCTCGATCACTGCTCGATCACTCGATCACGGTCTCCCAATTTGCTGGATCATTCGATCATGATCGTGTCCATCACTACTCGTATGCAATGTGGGACTCGGAATTTGTATCCCCTCAACATAAGACGTTGGGCATATTTGTACGGGAGCTTCAATAACTTGTCTCACTTCCAGGCCCACTACTCATGCTCTCTGTGGCCTGCCTCTCCCCCCCCTCCCTCCTTTGTCTTGTTCAAGTACAAACTTAGGCTCATGCAGGCGTAAGGGGGGCTTGAGCTAGATCCCGGATATCTTGGAGCAAGGCGGGCTTGTAGCAAATATGTTTCGTGAGATTGGTGCCTAACACTACTCAAAACACTAACACTACCTAAACAACAACTAGCCACCGCAAACAAATCCCGGCAGGATATACTCCACTAGATCCCCACCTCGAACTACGGGGCCACAAACCCCCTGCTTCCCAATGCCATGTGAATACATTCAACAACCACTGAGCACTCCTTCATCCATCTCTCTTTGTCATGTCCCATACTGCTGAACAATACCTGAAAGTGGTCTGTCTGAGTAAAACCCTTGTTGTTGTACTGGATCATCTGCCACTGTGCCCCACTAGTCACGAAACCGTACACAATCCCTCCGCCATTATTATCCCGCATGTCTTTGAGTGTTAACAAACATTGCCTCTTCGCCTGTCCGACAAAGGACTTTTTTGCCTCTATGACCAAGAAAAGCTCCCTGCCTCCGAGCCCAATAAAGTCCATACCAACACACTCCTGAACACCGCCCATCTCCGAGTCCCCGGCGATAATCTCTTTCTCTCTCCGAAGGATCAGCTTATGCCCCATCTTGCGTTTCAACCTCATGAGTATAGGAAGGATTATAAGTAAAACCAAGTCTTTCACGTTGGCTTCTTTAAAGTCTTCATCTGATTCCGCAGGATAGCCTTCACCTTCGAGAAATTGACAATATTTTCGAAAACCATTTCCTCGGTTTGTTGAACCTCATCATTTCCGAGCCCTTCGATCTGGTGCTTTTCCTGTGCCAACATCTGGCCGATGGGTATGGCATGCATTTCAAAGTCCAAGAATGTAAACCTGAGTCTCTTCTCGGCTTCGAGCATGCTGACTTTGGAATAGGCGGTCCGGCACTTGAGATTGGTGATTTGTTTCTTCTGAGTCTGTTGAATGTTGTTAGAGTAGTTTGTGGGCCGTACAACTTTAAACTCACCAAAGTAGTGTCCCCTTCCGTGGTCACCTCCGAAGAAGTAGTTTTACCCTTAGGATTGGTTCGCTTCTTCTGGTGAATATTGTCGCCTGGTTAGAACAGTTTATGGGCTACAGTATTAAAAAATTAAGCTTACCGGAGCAGTACTGCCAGTGATCGCCCTGCATGGATAGTGGACATGAGAGGGGTAGCGGTAGATTACGGCGGGTCTGACTGCCAGCTTGGTGACAATTCCGAATATTGCTACTGTTCGCTTCCGATAAATTTAGTAAGTCAGTCTTCAATAGATAATAACCGTAAAAACATTAAACAGACTAACCTTGTTATTAACGGGCGATTGAGAGGGTTGAATTCACTCGCGATAGTGGTAGATATGGTGTAATGTACTCGATATAGGTAGAGAAAAACAAGGATGAAGCTCAGCTCAATGGAGGTGAAGCGGTGATCGGATTGATTTGCTGAGAGGAAGGTGCGGTTGCACTAGTCTAACGAAGGAAACACGAATGCGCCTTTTATGCAGAAAGTCTGTGCGCCAAGCTATCTCCGAGTATGCAATTCACAGGCGGTGAAAAGCGCCATGCGAGTGATGCGACTGCGAAAACTACCCTATCAAATTTCCCTAGCCCATACCGGTACTTAGGATGTTGGGGCAGGTCCACGAAGCGCTTTGTTCAGCCAATAATAAAGCAAAAAAGATTTTCAAAAGAATTTTACCAGTTTCAATCACACCCCCTTTAGTGTGCGCACTATCATCGCAAAATACCCTAATCCGGTTTCGTGGTGTAGTTGGTTATCACACCAGTCTAACACACTGGTGGTCCCCGGTTCGAGCCCGGGCGAAATCAAACTTTTTCCTAGCATGTGTCATCAACTCCACTTTTTTTGCCGCTCCCCTAGTTCTCCACGAAAATCCTGCTAGTTGCGACCGTGGTCCAGGGATAAACCCAAAACACGGCTTGGGTGAAGAATCAGGATGCCAATACTTCGGACAAGTACCATCCCTTAACCCGTTTTCAAACACTGGGGCTAAGGCAGTACTAGCAGAGAAGCAGGAGCAGCAACCGAGGATGTAGCTGTAAAGAGCATTAGTATTTCTTGGGGTGCGGGGGTGTAGGCGGGATTAGATTTACATAGACCCTCCTGCTTCTGTCATGGCCATGCTGATTTTTACGAACTTCGCTACATTCTGAGCACTACTCCACTTGGGATCCGCAGAGTGTTTCCTATCACAATTACTCAAATAGACTACCGGTAGTGTTCAAGACTTTAAACAGAGCCGGACTTCTCAGCACTTTAAGGATAGATCCAGCTTTCCTTATTCTGCCCTGGCTATTGTCGATCACAGTGTTAGTGCCGCGCTAAAAGTGAGTGAAATTCGGGACAGACGAAGGGATGCTAACCGGTACTTTAAGGAGCCGGGCATAGACGAATCGGAAGTAATCTTCCCAACACCTTTCAAAACTTGGTG